GCCAACACGAACATCGGAACAAGTACCAACCAACCTTGACCACATCTACAAGGAATTTCAGACGGATGATGAAGTTCGCAAACACAAAGAGTCGTACAAGAAAGGGGGGGAAGCCAAGGCCAGGGGCGACATGCGGGGTCTCAACAAGGAGCGTGTCTTGCAGCATCAACTCCGCCTGCAGATTGAAGCGAAAAGGGCCAAGTGTCTCGAAGCCATCTCAAAATCTCGCAATTGGAATTGCGGGGAAATCGGCCAGATCGACGTGCACTACCTCACTGTCAAGCAGGCTCTGACACTGATTCACCAGAAGTTACCGCTGCTCGAAGCCAAAGGACACGATTGTATTTGCGTCGTTGCGGGCGCCGGCAAGCATAGCAAGCGCGGAGACCGATCTCTCTCGACCGAGATCAAGAATTCTCTCAATGAAAGTGGGAAACGCTGCGTGGACGACCCCAACTTGCATGGAACTTTATTCGTTTGGCTTTGAATGTAAAATATGCTCATGGACTTCTAGCATTCAATGTCTTGTCCGACACAAATGCCACAGTGGTGCCGCATCTGACGCATGCGACCGTCACCGCGCTGGGTTCTTCGGTGGTCATTTCGAGGGCAGACGCCGACGCGGCGAGAAGCGCCGTGGTGAAGATGATGGATTTCATTGAGGAAGGAGGAGTGTCAAAGCACATCAATTGGAAAATGAACCATTGAGCTTGCGATGACCGCCGTCGACATGGAGCACAACTCGGACAACACAACAAAGAGCCGCTTTACGCGAGTACCACCCTCTCCGACCTGACGGCACCTTGAAAACCACATGTTTTGGATTTACGGCGTCAAAACTCGAACGAACGGCAGGTCTTCACCGGATGTAAGTTCGAGTTGGGCATCGACCCACGTGAGATTGGTACATGGATCTGATTTGCGCTGTCATCGCCAGAATCACAATCGGTCGTGTATTCGCCCATCAGAATCATCATGCGCGCGCCTAGACCACCGCACGCCACGCACAATGTGTGTCAAAGCAGCGCTCTGGCCTTCCTCGCAGCCACGTGTACGTCAAACGCGGTTCATGTCACCATATCAGGAACCATTTTGCTTGCAGTAGCAAGCTTAACGCGTGGTGTCACCGATGGTAACCTAATCGTCTGTTTGGGCGGTACGGCTGATAGCCACGTGATAGCTGGTGCCGCAATCGCTTTGGCACCTCGTAAATGCTTACGTGCCCATCGGTAGGTAGATTCGCGCGGGCACATATTTCGACCCTATATCCAACGGCCCCAAGGTTGCCGGGGTGTCATACTCGTGGACAGTCCTAGCCAGGACACGTTGGCAATTGTGCAAAGCTGGTGTGTGTGTTAAATGCTTGCTGAAAGGCAAAATGGAAACTGAATTTCCAAGCCCTTAAAGACTACGTCCGGGACGAGGGCGTCGAGGATGAGGGCGTCTGGGAAGAGGGCCTGGTACGAGCACCAGCGCGGGTGATCGAAACCAGTCACCGATGGTGAACTGTCTACAACACCATATGGAAGCTTGCATGGTGTCGTGACAGTGTGAGCTTGCAGGTGGCTCCCTGGGTGGCTCCCTAATGATTGCCGTACATTTATTAATACCTGGTTAGAAATGCACTTGGAAATGGGCAATATATTGAAAACAGTGTATTGTACTGTATCGATGCATTTTAGATCGTCAAATCCACCCTAGTCAAGAACCATTCGCTTCGGGTGGAGCACAACCCATCGCTGCACTAGATGGAGGGCCAACGGCTCCAAGGCGATCTAGGGAACGGCCTCGCGCACTCGCGCCGTTTGTCATGCAGCGGAATGCATTGGACCTCGCCGCGCAGGTGCCAGACGAAGGGCAATGGTCAGCCATGACAAGGCACTAGCAAAGCTATAGATACCCTTGGTACTACTATGCTTGGAGCTCGTCGTTGTAGATGCAGTTGTTGGTCGTCGATCAGTCGTTGAGGATACGCCACTTTGCCCGGTCCAACGAGTTGAATTCGTCGTTAGAGGTGAGCGTCCACTTGGCTTTGGCGTTGGTCGCGTTCGCTGGCACCATGGACTGAGTGCCCATCACGAGCGTGGCGGCCAGCAACAACACTAGTCCGCGCATCGTGTTGTGGTGTTGTGGTGTTGTGGAGAAAAATACCCCCTGCCGAGCGACGTTGTGAAGCACCAGCATGGTGGTTCCGATGACAACGCCAATGGGATAGAGAAGAAATGGACACCACCTACTGGCCCCGCACTTCCAGCATGTAAAGTAGGAATTCCCCTACTGGTCCTAAGGCGACCGACTAAGCATCTTGACAGCCAGAGCTGGCCAGGCGACTAGCCAGCGATAGAATCCGAAACACCCACCGCAGACGGTGCTAAGTCAATATTGAGAGCATGAACTTCTTGGCGCTCCGTTCTCGTTCTCGCACAGACTAAATGACGTAAAGACAAGTGCAAATAACAAGATGGTCTCTAAGATAGACGCGTGTATTGCAGTTGTTACGGATGTGGTATCGTCTATCCAAAGGTGCTTCTAGAGCTGTCCAATCACGGCGTGCACTACAAGGAGATATGTGGCTTCCAGCGCCCGGAATGGAGGGGACTCACGAGGCTTGTAGACGCGGACATAGTCGACGAGCATACGCTGGGGAAACACTGTCGACGCGGACGGACTCCCGGGCCACGTGCCGCCAACCGCGAGGTTCAAGATGATGTAGAACGTCTTTTGCGGAATGTAAAACGGCGCCTTGTCTGTGCACTGGTTGCTGTCGAGGACGTAGTACAACTGGCCGTCAAAGTACCACGAAATCGCCGTTGGCGTCCACTCGACTGGAGTAGTAGCGCGTTTGTTCATAGGTTGGTTGCAACAAGTGAACGACGTACCGGCGTACACGTGGAAGCCATTGTCGAGGTCGACTTGCTTGGACTTGCCCGTCTTGCCGCACACTGCCTTGTCGTCGTGGAAGTTGCGGTTGCAGCTCGGACCAAAGTGGTAGTTGCCTGCGCCGCATCAAAATAGTAGAATGTCATCAAGCATGCACGCACCGTGAATCTGGTCGGGCGACTGCCCCACGTACTCCATAATGTCAATCTCGCCGTCCGTGGGCCAGCACCGCCCGCCGCGCGGCATGAGCCTACGCCATTCGATATTCATGCAGTGCATTTTCGATCGATAAACTAGACCAGAAGGCGGGCCACATGCCAAGACCGACCGGGAGCTTGATGCGCGCTTCAAAGCGGCCAAATTGCTGCGCAAACGACCCGGACGAGTCGAGCCGCCCGGAACGATACTGGCGCGTGCCGGCGGCCGGTGACGTGTACGCGTCACGCGTCGCCTCGACGACGAGGTTGCCGTCCTCGACGCGCACTTGCGACGCCAAGTACACTTGCTCCTCTTTGTTGTGGGCGCATTCGTGCTCGGTCGAACACTCGTTGGCAATCGTCCAGCGCGACTTGTTGAGAACGTCGAAGTTGTCTTCGAACGTGACCTGCCACCCGGCGAGCGGCGACAAGCTGAACGGCACCGGGCGCGCCGTGCTATTGAGCGTGGTGCAGTTGGTGGCCGACACCGCGCCGAGAAGCAAGAGCAGGAGCGAGTACATTGAAAAGTGAGACGGATGCAAGCGGCTTGACATTTATGGTGTTGTCACACGCATCTGTTGATCCAAGCCGCGTTAGCGCACGAGTCTGCACGGCAGAAGGCACACGCGCGCTGGTCAATGTCCAAGGGGTAGGGTAGACGTGGTGGACAAAACAACAAGCTCTATAAGCTCCTTCCCCATCATATTGTTGGTATGTCCGCTATCAAGAGTCGCTTTCTGGGCATATGGTGTTGTTTGAAGCTTGTGATCTGGTCGTGTACGGAGCTTGGAGCTTGGGAATCTGGGTCGTCAAACGGTATGACCCAGGACAGCCAGGCAACGACGCACACAGGCCGATTGAGTAATAACGCATTTCAACAACAGGTCATTGGATTTATAACTATACGATACGTTCGCGAACCGAACGTCGTCGGCATGTCTAGTAACCTGATTCATAACTGCTAGCGTTGGTACTACCAAGGGCTTAATGGTATACTAGTATAACCCAAATTCATTGTGCGATCTGCGCGACGGGGAGGGTGATGGGGAGGAAAAGCATCGAACGGGGGGTAGCAGGCTGGTGGGAACCGCGATTCCAGTCGCTCGTGGAGAGACCTACTGTGAACGTGCGCTGTCATAGGGCAAAGTGCCGTCAAAGAAGCCGCACCAAACACATCTGGTTTCCATCCGCTTCTGCACGACGGCGAGAGTGGGACGGGTGATCGGAGCATCAGAAATTACTCGCGACCTCAGCACTTCTTCTTGCTGCAAAACGCAAGATGCAAATACGACCGACGCACACAGCATCTGCAGCTCATTTTTACTTTGCCCATGGCGCCCTTGTGCCCCGCTCGTCTTTTCGTTGTCTCGCTGAGTCTCCTCGTCTCGGCGATCGCTGCGACCTCCAACGCATCCACGATCCTTGTCGTTCCCAATGCCAACTTGACTGGTGGCACCAAGTGGCAGCTCACCTTCGAAGACAACTTCAACACCGTCGACGCCTCGCGCTGGCGGCTTCACAACGACTGCTCCACCAACAACAACTGCGCGCAAAACAAGGAGCTCCAAGTGTACATGGCCAGCCAAATCCGTGCCGAGAAGGGCAAACTCGTCATCGAAGCGACCAACCAGTCGTACACGTCGCCAGCTGCCGGCACACGCCAGTACCGGTCCGGGCGCATGGACTCGTCCGGCAGCTTTGCACAGCAGTACGGCCGGTTTGAAGCGCGCATCAAACTTCCAACGGGCCAAGGCATGTGGCCAGCCTTCTGGTATGTCCGCCCGGAGTGATCTCGTTTCCATCTCTGTCGTAGGCTCATGCCGCGGGGCGGTCGGTGCTGGCCCACGGACGGCGAGATTGATATCATGGAGTACATTGGCAACAAGAAGCCGAAAGCTATTCACGGTAGGCACCGCAGCGGCACGACCCGGCTCATCGCTCCGACTTGGCGTAGGCAACTTTCATTTTGGTCAACAATGCAGCAAGAATCTGCACTCGGACGCGTCCGTGTGCGGCACGACGGGCAAAGCCATTGACGTCGCGCTCAACAACGAGTACCATGTTTACGCAGGTGCGATGAGACTCGTCGCTGGTCGGGAGCTAAAAGTTGTGTGCGATTAGCCGAGTGGACGCCCACGTCGATTTCGTGGTTTTTCGACGGCCACCTCTACTACAAGCTGGATAGCTCTCAGTGCACCAACAAGGCGCCGTTCTTCATTCCGGCCAAGCCCTTTTACATCATCTTTAACTTTGCCGTTGGCGGCGGATGGCCCGGCAACCCTACCCCGACCACGATCTTCCCGCAGCGCTTGTACGTCGACTATGTGCGCGTGTACAAACATGGTAGTCTGCCCTCGTCGAGAACCAAACCGACTTTATCTTGCGTAGTGGGGGCCGTGTCGTTTCCCGTCCTCGGCGACGCTGCTCAGTATGTGCCTTCGAATGCTACAAACCGTCCGTAGAGTTCTGCATGTCGGTGGACAGTAATATATTACTATGATCATGCGTTTTAGCGTGTACAAAAGAGCTAGATAGTGCATCATATTTTTCTCCACGTCCGATGTTATGGCCTTGGTACTACGTCCGGTACCGGTAGTATCTTCGACTTGTCGTGGGAGAACTGTTGCATAGCTGCAACTAGAGATTTAAATCAGGAATAAGACTGTAGTCAACAACTGCACCCACAAACAAGATGGTCCCGTGGCGACGACAAGGTTCGGCACCGCCAAGCGCCCGTACGGTTGCTAACGATGATGTGCGATTGCGATTTGCTCAGAGTCCTTTGACGCGCAAGAGCTGAGCGAAGATTGCGCTCCGTGGCGAGTGTATGTTTCGAAATGCAGACGATCGGAGGACTACGCGAACATGGAAACCTCCTAGTGCACTGACGACTTGTAATCCCAAAGCAGATCTTGTTCTCTTCGGTCCTCTTGCAATGATACGCATCCACTTGAGCAGTATCCGAATCCAAGTGGTCCTTCCGATACACGATGCCGCTAGAATCCATTCATTTGACGCACGACGCACACAAAACACCTAGCTCTTGACTACGAGAGTGGTGCAATAGCGTTCAACTTGATTGGCAGCGAGCACTTGATGCGACGATGAGATTGTTGTTGCCAACAAGGTGTCCCATCAGTGGAGCCATCGTCTCCACTTGCGCGATATCAGATCGTCAGCATCAGCTTCCCACTGAGCTCAATTCATCGCGATCAGCAGTCTGGACTCGAAGCTCACTTGTAGAACTCTCACCACTGATACCGGTACGCCACCTCGGGCAGGCGTCCTCGCTTATGACGTGACGTAGCCTCAAGAACTCCCATGCATGCAAGCTATCTTCTTGTGGGATTCGCCCTCGTCAGCGACAGCATCCGCGCTGCATCGACGTTGGTGGAGCGTCAGACTCGGCCTCGTCGGCCACAGTGACAGCGCTGTCCAGCCTCTCTCTGGTAAAAGATAGCCGGAGCTCATTGCGCTGAGAGTCACCTCTGTCTCCTGTAGCATACGACTTCAGCCTTCGCGCTGTTCGAGCTCTTTGTGCCACAATTCACGACAGTCCCATCGCCAAGCATCCAAGCGCCGGCTGGGACGAGACGAATCAAAGCTCTCGCAGCGCCGACGACGACATGGGTCAATAATATTGACCCATGCGACGACAACACTAGCCCCGACGGCCGCGGCACCCAGTGCCGTTGTCTCGACGTGGACGCTCATGTTTGAGGACAACTTTGACACGCTCAACAAAAACACATGGAGAGTCCTCAACGACTGCTCGACCGGCAACAACTGCGTCTACAACAACGAGCTCCAAGTGTACTTGGCGAGTCAAGTCTACGTCACGAACGGGTCGCTCGTCATTGAGGCTACGAACGAGTCGTACATATCCTGCTGCTGGCACGCGGCAGTATCGGTCCGGGCGTCTCGACACCTCACTCTCATTTGCGCAGCAGTATGGCCGCTTTGAAGCGCGCATCAAGCTCCCGGTCGGCCAAGGCATGTGGCCAGCCTTTTGGTATACTTCATCATCGGCGCTTCTTTATTCGACAGACGTAGGCTCATGCCGCGCACGAGTGCGTGCTGGCCCACAGCCGGCGAGATCGACATTATGGAGTACACGGGGGACTTTCCCAATACGCTCAACGGTCCGCCCTGTTCCCAGAGACGTCGCACTCTCATGCCAATTAGGCAACTACCATTATGGTCCATCGTGCAACAACCTCCACACGTCGGCGGGCTGTGGCACGACGGGCACGGCGGCCACGGTCAATTATGGCTCCGACTGCCACTGATATATTGACACATTGATACTTTACGTCTAGTCGAGTGGACACCAACGTTCATCTCGTGGCTGTACGACGGCAGCGTCTATTACATCCTCTCGAGCGCCCAGTGGGCCCCGTCCGCCTTCTTCTTCATACCCAAAGACCCGTTCTACTTCATTTTGAACCTAGCGGTGGGCGGCGACTGGCCGGGGAGTCCCAACGCGACCACCGTCTTTCCTCAGCGCATGTATGTCGACTATGTCCGCGCGTACAAGCGCACATGATCAAGCAATAAATGTAATACCTTGTAGCTTTGTTGTTGTATATTTTGCAGTAGGGCGTGGGTTTAAATAGGAGGCGACTTTAGCAAATGCCTTCCATGAGGTCGTCGCCCATCGACGACGACTCGGAAAAGACATCGCTCGCGCGCGGCGCGTCCACCAGCTTGGCCGACGTTGGCGACAAGTCGACCTCGGGCTCGTCGCGCTCGGCGTCGTACGCGTCGTCCGCTTCGTGCGGCGCGGCACTGACCTCGTGGATCGCACGCCACTCGCGCACGTAGCGCGGCCCCATCGCACTGCAGAGCGCCTCCACGAGCTCGTCCGCGACCCAGCCATGGTTGTCGGCAAACCCGTCCGTCTTGACAATACCGCAAATGTGTTTGAGCAGATACGGCAGCGCCGCGCGCTTGAGGTCGTCGGCTTGGCACTGGTCGGCGAGCGCCCACACCGTCATGGCGTTCGGAATCGAAATCTCGTCGGCAAGAAACTTTTCACAGCGCTTCTGGAGCTCGGGCACGCGGTACGACGACGCGGCGAGCAGGAGGTCGCACGCATTGGAGAGGTCGATCGCCACGTCCTCCGTGTACTAAGCCGTACACAGGTGAGACGCCACACGTCGAGTGAAACCCACCAAAAAGTTGATGAGCGCCAGAAATGTCGCATACGAGCAGTCTTCAATCTCAATCACGTCGCCCGGGCCACTCAGCTACGTGTTCCTTGAGCGCCATCCCTCGAGAAAAAACAAGTACCAGCGACTTGAAGTAGGCGTTCTGGACGCTGAGGACGACGCGGTTGGCGCCAATGAGTCGGCCTTCCACGACAAACTGCACATCGACAAGCTCGACTTCGCGGTCGTACGACTCGCGGAGCACGGGGTACGTGATCGCAACGTCGGGAGAGTAGGTCGACGGCAGCATGTGCTTGATGGCGTACGCGACCGTGCGGTGCGAGTAGGCGTCCGGCGCCTTCAGGAGCAACAAGAGCACCGAGAGGAGGCCTTCGGGCAGCAGCCGCGGCCACTCGGACGGGTCCAGCATGTGCACCAGCGTCAGCATGACGTTGCCCTTGAATTTGCCTACACGCGTCGTCGCTTCGGTCCCACAACATCCCCATGTTCGTACCGATCGCCGTCGAATTTGTGAGCCGGAGCGACGCATAGAGCATCGTACGAAAGTCCTCGCGGCTTATGTAGCGCCAAATGTTGCGCATGGCGAGGAGGCACGCGCGCCACGTCGCTGAGCCTTCTTCCATCTCGAGCATGTGCAAGACGGCGCCTTCCAGCACGAGGTGGAGCGCGCTCGAGAGCCGCTGCGAGAGCCGGTGGAGCGTGTGCGCCGCGTGGACCGTCACCACGTCGTCGGCGCCATGCAGCGCCTGGAGAATCACGGGGATGCCGCCGCCGCGCGCAAACAAGTCGTGGTTGTTTTGGTTGTCGAGGAGCGACTCGAGGACGATCGCGGCCTTGCGCATCTGCGTCACGTCCCCCGTCGGCGCGCTCAGTTTCTCGAGCGAAAATGGAATCGACTTGAGCACGCACGCGTCGCAAAAGCGCTGCTTGGCGTCTTCAAAGCCCTCGACGATCGCGCGCGACATGGAGCAGTTGGCACACACGAGGTCGCCGCACTCCTGCACAGCACAGTCGACGATGAGCCCAGAATACGACCATTGGAGAGCCGACGTACGCGACAGTGGTGGCGCCGTCGTACGACCGTGAACAGCGCCTTGCAACACGTGCACGCGTCCGCGACCTTGTCTTCGGCCCAGGGCTTGATGAGCTTCCACTTGAGCAGATCGGCGGCTGCGTCCAAAATCGTGGTGCCCACTTGGCGAAACTGCTGAATGTCGTTGAAGCGGAAGACGTCGAGGAGCCGGGCGTTCGAGTACGGCGACGCGGTCGCGCGGCTCGGGTCGTCCGGGTACAGCGAGACGCCGACTTGGCCAAGCTGAATGGCGTACGCTGGCAGCATGGCGACCCAGCCAGGAAGGCCGACCTAGATTGCAGTTGAGCGGGCAGAGTCATGCACGAGGAACCGACTTGGTAGGGGAGGTTGCGGCCGCTGTAGCCGTTCTGGGCCAGTGTCTGGACAATCTCCTTCATCCAAACCGTCCGGTTGACGCAAATATAGCGGTGGCTGGCTTCCGTGTACTCGAGCAAGAGGACGTGGGCGGCCGCGCAGTCCCGCACGTCCGTGAGCGCATAGTCTAGTTAGTCGACACATATTCGTTTTGATAGCCTTCAGGTCACGTCGCTTACTAAAGTCGACGAGCGCCGAGTACTGGCCCGTGATCAAATCGTACACAATTTGCGTGCCTGGCGAGATCTTGTCGTTGCAGAGCGACGGCCCCATGAGCGTCCCCGGCTACAACCCTCTCCGTGAGCGCAGAGTCGACCGAATGGACGTACGTTGACGGTCACGAGCTCCATGGATTCGTTCTTGACGAGCTGCCACGCAGCTTCTTCCGCGAGCTTGAGGCTCAAAAAGTGCGGGTTGCGCTCGAGCGACGACGTCACGTTCCACGAGAGGTCGTCAATCTTCGTGTTCATGTCGACATGGTCGGCCATGGCCGCGACCGACGACGTAAGGACCACCTAGAAGTCGATGGGCATCGAGAAGAGATACGAGTAGAGGACGCGTACGCGCTTGACTTTGGCACGAATGCACGCGGTGATAAAGTTGTTCATCATGGGCACAATGCAGTGGACGCGGCTGCTAATGCTGTACACACCGGGCTCCTACTACAGCGATGAGAGGGACACGCGACATGGACGCCGTACGTTTTGCTCCGAGAAAGGGTCGCGCACCGAGCACGACGTGGGCGTGCCCGTGTGGATGACAAAGTCGCAGCCGTCAACGGCCAAGTCGCACGACTGCGCTGTGAGCAGCGACGTCTCGACAATTGTCAAGTTCTTCTTCGCATGCGGCAAGTCGAATAGCTTCGAGATGTCGTCGCTCTTGTTCTGAACCGTGCCACGGACCTTGTAGCCGCGTAAGAGCAGCTCGGCGACGATCCACGCCGCCAAGAAGCCATCGACGCCCGTGACGCAGACGGGCTTGTGCATCGAGCCCGCCGTCGTCTTGCGCCGGTACCGCAAGATCTTCCACACGCTCGGGTACATGGCCGAGATGTCTTGGGCGGATGACGGCGACTCGGCCACAGGCAGCGACTGCGATGGCTTCTTGATGCGGTCGCGCTTGGTGCGTGGCGGGCGGTCCTTCTCGTCGAGGCTCTTGCGCGATGCGTCCTTGTCCTTGCGCTTTTTCTTCTTCTTGCGCTCGACGGGTGCACCGTCGTCCAGGGTCACGGTCGACGTCGTCGTCACCGCGCTGCTCAAGCTGTCGCTGCTCGACGGGCCCGGCCGTGTCGGCGCCACGGGGACCTGCGGGCCGAAGAGCATGCTGCTTCCCTGCCTCTGCGGGTACTACTGCGTAATTCCGACGCCAACGGCGGCTTCGTCGATCCGGATAAAGCGCCTGGCCCACACACACGTGGGGAATGCGATGGCACGGCATACAAATCCCAAGTGGCATCTCATATTTTCCACCGCGGGAAATACACGCACGGTGTGGAACAAGGGGTCGCAGCGCGAGAAGCCAGCAGGTCGAATTTTCGAAGGCGCCCGGCGACCGTGCGAAGCTTGCGGCCGTCACCACCACGTGTACCGTGTAGTTTGAGTGATTTCCCGTGGGCGTGAATCCGGTGAAAAATGATCATCCGGATAACCTGGCCAGCACCGCAAAAGTTAAAAACACCCAACTTGAAACGCAGCCGCGGTCCACTGTCCTCGACAACCCATGCGACGTCTCCAGCGTGTCTATGCACGCAGCAGATCGCATACTAGCGTCGTAGACGGTCCGAGATCGCCTGCTGATAGCACGTGGACGGTCCTCGCTCTTGCCCGCTTCAGGCCAAAAAGTTGCGTGCGTCCATCCAACGGCCTGAGTTGAAGTCGTATCTTCTCTTGCAAGCGGGTTGGTATTGAATTAGCTTGCGTTTTGTATGCTTGTGAAGTGGTGCATCGGCGGAAGTATTTTATAAAATATTTTAATGCGCATACAAACATGAGGTGATGGGTCATGAAAAGTATTGTATCACGCCGCTTGCAGCTTGCAACTACTAGTAGCGAGCACCCCATCAACCCACTTGGCTTATCACGCAGCATGCTCTTTGGGCCCCAAGGCGACGGGCTCGTGTACGACAAGACCGCGCGGGCCAAGGGCGCTGGCGCCGAGATCATGAGCGTCAAGCGCCGAGGCAAGCCCTCCGGCCCGACCAGCGCCTTTGAGGCCACGGGCAAAGTGCGCAAGACGCGCACGCCCAAGAAGCGCCTCGAGGATACGCGCTGCATCTACCCGTCGGTGTGGGCGAGCCTTCGCTTCAAGACGACCGACTCGAAGAAGAACCGCCCAGCCTTTCTGAATGCGAGCCAATCCAAGCTGCCCGTGTGCGTCACTGGCGCCGACGGGTTCGTCGCCGCGTGGATCGTTGCCGAGCTGCTCCAGCGCGGCTACAAGGTGCGGGCCACCGTGCCCGTGCGCACCGACGACGTCGAGCGCCTGAAAGAGCTCCCCAAGGCGGCGAAGAACCTGACAATCGTCGAGACGTCGCTCTTGACGCCCGAGCTCTGCGACGTGGCTGTCGAAGGGTGCGAGTACGTCATCCACACGGGCACGCCCGCATCCTGCACGGTGCGCGATCCTGTCTCGGAAGCCAAGGTCCTTCTCGCATCCTGGTTGCACCAAGTTTCTCACGTCCTTGAATAGGAGCCTGGGATGCACACGGTCTCAAGCCGCATCCACTGCATCGTGCCCGTCATGACCAACTTTATGAAGGCGTGCGTACGCGCTCGGGTCAAGAAGGTACATTGCCACCGCCATCTCTCTTCTAAGCACGTCACGTAGATGATCCTGACGTCGTCGGTTGCCGCGCTCTGCGACAGCGTGAGCCCCACAACGATCGTCAACGACATGTGCTGGAACACCGAGTCGTCGCTCGAGAAGAACCCGCATTTCTTTGGGTTCAAGCTCGCCGAAGAGAAGGCGTGGCAGCTTGTCGAGCAAGAAACCCTGGAGCTCGTGACGATTTGCGTACGTCCCCATATATTGCAACATTGCATGGTCGCATTGCTACCCGTCCACTATAGCCAGGCACGCTCATGGGCCCCTCGGTCTGCGGCGCGTCGATCCCGCCCGGCAACCAAGTCGTTTACGACCTCATCACCGGTGCCTACGCGGCCCTTGTCGACCTCAGTACGTCGTCCGTCACTCTGCTGCTAGAAGGGCCAACGCGGTGGTAGACTGGGCTGTCACGGACGTGCGCGACTGCGCGGTCGCCCACATCCTCGCCATGGAACACCCGGACGCGCGGGGTCGGTACATTTGCGTCAACAAGACGGTGTGGCTTCGCGACATTGTCGAGACGCTGCGCGCCAACGGCTACAGCGGGCGTGACCTCCCACTGCAGGTGGGTCTGCCCAACTGGGTCGCGCGCCTCCCCGCCTACGCGCCGCAACTGGGCCAAGTCGGCGCGTCGCTGTACGCCGACCATGTCTCGAACGCGCAGCCGTCGCCGTACCTGAGCGACCGCATCGTGGACGTGCTTGGCCTTGGCTTCCGCGAGGCGAAGAGCACGATCGTCGAGACAGCGGGCGACCTTCTAAAGTGGAAGTGGATCAAGCCGTGGGCCGAGGACTGCGAAGCGCTCTCGTGCGCGATTTGCGACGTGCCATTTTCGTTCATTCGGCGCAAGCACCACTGCCGGGTACACCGGTCGCTCTTCACGCCTCAGATCTGAGTGGTCGTCTCGTAGGAGTGCGGGACGATCATTTGCAGCGACTGCTCGCTCTCGCGCGCGGTGGTCGAAGGGCTCAGCGAGCGCGCGCGGCTCTGTGACCAGTGCGTCCAGACGTCAATTCCGGCGCTCATCGAGCTCGTGGCCGCCAACCCGCGTGCCCGTGCGGCCGTCGTCGCGCTCGAGTCGCTCATGGAGAATCCCGACAACCACGAGCTCATTACGCGCTGCCACGGCATCCCGATCTTGATCGAAGCCCTGCATTGCGCGGACGAAGACGTGTCGTTCCCGGCGGCCGGCACGTTCCTCGCGCTCTCACTGGACGTGGCGAGCGCGCTGCAGATGGTGCTCGAAGGTGCCGTGCTCCACATGCTCGAGGTCGACCAGACCACCGACACGTGGCGACAGTGCCTTCAAGCGCTGCGCAACATTTGGCGGCAAATCAACCGCGCCGAGTTTCGCAAGATGCTGCACTCGGTCTCGCGCGTCTCGACCGACGCTGCCAGCGGTACACTGCCCATGCCGCTTCTTTGTATGTATGGCTGTTCGTAGGTCCGCTCAAGGCCAATATTCTCTTGACGTTTGTGCATATGATGGAGCCCGCCGACGTCGTCGAGCTCCTCAAGGAAGGGCTCATGGACGTATTTTTCTTCATGCTCCAGAGCGCCGAGACGTACCCGCGCTGCGCGGCGGCCCACGCGATCACGCGGCTGATTCCGGACTCGTACCATCCCGACACCTCGATCGAGATCCCGCCCTTCCACGTCGACAACCACGAAGAGCTGCTCACGCTCGCCGCGCTTTCGGACATTCAGTTTCTCGTGAAAGGCCACATTGCGCCCATCAACGCCCACAAGATTGTGCTCTTTGTACGCAACGCCTACTTCAAAAACATGGTAGGCTCGCTGAAATGTATCAAGGTATCAACTTGATGTGTCCAGTTTGGCTCGACGACGACGACGACCAAGCGTGTGATCGAGATCGACAATTGCTCGTACAATGTGTTTTCGATGCTGCTCCGCTTCATCTACACGGGCAAGCTCACGATCGACGAGGGCACGGCGCAAGACCTCTTGCGCGCGGCGTCGTTTTACCAAGTGACCGTGCTTCAGAAGCGCATCGAGTCGTTCTTGGCCGACCGCATCGACGTCGGCAACGTCGTCGACCTCCTCTCGCTCAGCAACGACTGCCACGCCGAGAGCCTCCGCCGCGCGTGCATCCCGTTCCTCATGAAGAACATCCACGCCGTCGTCAAGCTCCCGTCCTTTGCGGTGCACCACGAGTGGGCGAGTCAAGAGATTCTCCTCGAGCTTGCCAACATGCTCGGCCCGGTGTGGCACGACTCGTATTTAACGGTGGTCCAGCACAAGGCGACCAAGATCGTCCAGACACCGTTGCCACCCGTCGTGGTGCCGACGTCGGCGCCGATGCTCAAGCCCGCCTCGCCGGCCATGCGACCAAAGGCCGTGTCGCCTGTCCTCGCGCCGCGCTCGCGACTGCTCTCGGACGAGAGCTTGGCCGAAGGCATTTGCTAAGTCTTCTGTTGTGTTTTGAATATGTTGCACTTTTGTGGCGAGTCTTGGGTGGACCTAACCGTACCGGTTTTGCAAGTCGGAGAAGAAGCTGGACGTCATGGTCTTGAGCTTGGCGGCCTTGTCCGACACCTGCGACTTGAGCTGGTCGAGTTGGTACGCGGCCTCGTCGGCAGCTACGCGCCGCATGCGTCAAGAAGTCGGTCGCGAGGAAGCTTGTACCTTCCATGGACGCCGAGCGCGGGCGGTCGCCATTGCCGTAGTACATGTCGCTCGAGATGGCTTGGGCGCCCGAGAACTGGCGGATCTTTTCACGGTCCGCATCACCTTCTTCGCCGGCAAAGTAGTTGGCCGACGAGATCGACTTGGAGTTTTTGTACTTGTCGAGCGACGTCTTGTTGGCCTCGGTCGCACTGGATGACGCAATGCGCGTCGTCTTCAAGCTCTGCGCCAAGGTCTCTCTACGCACCAATCGCGTCCATTCGACCATCCGCAAGTGAATCGTACTCGTCGGCCTTTTGGATCGCACGCGCCAGCGCCTCGTCGTCATCGATCTGCTTGGACGCTGCGACCTCGGCCACGGACGGCTTGGGGTTCTGCACACCAGAGTTACATCTCGGTCGACACGTCGAGTAGGTGTAGTACCTCGAACGGAATCGAATCGAAATCGTCGAACGAGCTCTTGACCTTGGTGGCGCCAAGGCGCGTTGCCGTGCGCTTCGTGGCCGTCGACCCCGACGTGCGCTAAACGAGTGGATAAGAGGAGGCAACACGACATGGTAGGAGACGTACGCGGCTCGAGAGCTTGGAGGTGAGGGTGCCCGCGGGGGCGGCCGAGCTCGCGTTGCCACCGAGCAGGACAACCGGGCGGTTGATATCGAGCATGCCGGTCGCGGGCGCTTCGGTGGGCTTAGGCTGCGTGGCGGCAGCGCGTACAGGGGCGGGCGGCAACGTGTACGCGGGCGCCGCAACTGCCTCGCCGGCACCGACGAGCTTGACAAGGTCGTCGAGGTCGCCGGGGGCCGAGGCCGCGCTCGACGTGTCGACGGTCGTGTACGGCGATGCGTCAAAGGAGGCAGCCTGGATCTTCTTGGCGAGTTGCGCCTTGTAGAGTGTCGCGGCCTTGGTCTTGTACTTTTCATCAATCTACCACGACGCGATAAGAGCATGCAACTCGCGTGACGTCGTGGCCGTACGTTCATCATGTCGGTGACGCCATGCTGCTTGAAGAACTTGCGGGCCTCGTTGTTGCCACCGAGCTGCATCGTGAGCAGTTGGTCTTCGGTCCATTCGTCCATGTCGGTGGAGCGCACAAAGGACACGTGGACACCAAGGCGGCGGTGGTAACCCGAGCAGTCCAAGCACATGAAGATGCCAAAGGAGACCGTCGCCCACATGGGGCTGCGTCGATCGCAGTCGAAGCAGATCTTGTTGGCGGCGACGGCGCGCTGCGCCTGGAAGAACTTGTCGCGGACCTCGTGGCTCACGTACTTGGTCGTCATCGCGATCGTTGGCGTTTCCGCTGCATCACGGCCGGGACTTTAACCATACACCATTTCGAAACCGCAGTCTTTATATAGTGTATATTGACGCTACACAGACACATTTTGGTGTGCAAGCGATTTGCGTCGTAGCCCGCTTGGCCTGGCCCCACGACACCTCTGCGCATGGGCCAGTAGAGAGCATCGTAATGTGGGCACAATATAGACGGCCGCCTTCCTACACGCACAAGGTACTGCGGCGATTCTGTCGAGGTATGCACACTATTTCCTGTCGCCGTAACCTGAAGGTCGAAATTTCTAGATCGGATATAAAACGAGTGCATAACTTATGATTTGTATCGGAATTAAAACATTATATTTTAATACCGTGTTTGTTGAAGGTCATTTAAATAAATATCGTATTCTTTATTCAAGCTTGTCGTTTGAGTTGTGTGCAGTATTTAAATACACAGCATCCGCCAATCCCATCGCTCCGCGGTCGACAGCTTTATCCGGACGTCCGTTTGAGCCCGCAGGATGGCGATCCACGTGTTCACTCATTTTGCCTTGGGATCCTCGCATCATGAAGCTCTTCCACGTCGTCGTCCTTGCTCTTCTGGGCCTCTCGGCCGTCACGTCCGCGGCCGATGACAAGGAGTGCGAAGGTAGATATGACCTCTAGGAACATGACCATATCTCATGCAACGACGCTCTAGTCTGCATCAAGGTCATCGAAGACCTCAAGTCGACCTACTCGACGATGCTCGCGGAGAAGGGTGGCAAGAACAAGCTTGCAGTCGCCGAGCAGGCGCTCGAGAAGCTTGTCTCGAAGAAGAAGGCCGACCCTAAGGAGAAGAAGCTCGTACGCGGACGATTCTCATATCGCCCTGGTCCTCATGATGCTGGCGGTAGTTTTACTTTTTGGAGCCCATGAAGAAGGATGCGGCGCGGCAGGTGACCTTCGGCAAAGAGACGCTCAAGATTTGCCAAGGCTTGAGCAAGAAGAACCCCGAATTCTGCTCGATTCGCTTCCGTACGCCGTCCCACTAACCAAAGGGTGCGCTGACCCTTGCTTGTGTAGCCATCAAGGCGGCCAAGGGCACCGATTACTCCAAGATGCGCGTCAAGGAGCTCAAGAAGATCCTCCAGGAGCGTGGTGAAAACTGCAACGGGTGCGTCGAGAAGTCGGACTTTATCAAGCGCTTGCAAGAGACCGAGCGCGACGAGTTGTAAACCGACGCATATTTAGACGTTCCCGACCCGAATGAATGAAGCGATCTTCGTCTTCTTCCTACGACCTTCGCGACGATGGAACGCTATGCCATCAGAGAGGCCCCGTGCCTTGGACGGCGCGCAGAATCTGGAGCAAAGACGATCCGACAATGACAAAGACGAAGAAGCCGAGCAGCATCGGGCCAACCCGGTACCCAGCGTCGCGTGGTCCCTACTCGTGCATGGCATCAGCTGGGGCTCTCGCAATGACCTATCGACGGTGCTAACCCGAGCGCTGGACGCCACGTGGCCTCGCTTCGTGATGTTGTCCGCATGGGCTTGGCTCCGCAGCCGGAGCTTCATGGGCGTCGCGGGCATCGTCGCAACCCTTCAAGATCTTGCAACTCACCGTCCCAGTTAGTCGATGCCACCGACTAGATAGTAAAATACTTGTTCGACAGGATATCATTGGCTCCTTTCTCGTCCTTTTTATCCAATCAAAAAGGAGAAGAGATGCCTTGCGCAAACACTCCCGTTGCGCAAACACTCGATGGGCGAAAAAGGCCACTTCAACGTATCTTGTGCGGTCGTCGCCAAGAGCATTCTCGTGGTGGCCATACTCTCTTGCGGTTTGTATGCATACGACGTTGAAGTTGGCGTCAAAACCCGATATACCATGCTGGTCTCATGCCGACGGGCGCTGAGCACGCGGCCGTGGAGCCGCGCGCTCGGGTCGACGCAGCGCTATGCGCCGAGCCTCTCGACGGACGACTATTGCCGCATGACGATCGAGTCGCGCGCGTATGACATCGCCGTGACGACGCCGCTCATGAAGGCGCACGCGATGTCGGAAGCGCTTGGCAACACGATCTTGCTCAAGCGCGAGGACATGCAGCCCGTCTTCTCGTTCAAGATCCGCGGCGCGTATAACAAGATGGCGCACTTGTCCACGGCAGCGCGCGACGCGGGCGTCGTTTGTTGCAGCGCCGGCAACCACGCGCAGGGCGTCGCGCTCTCGGCCAAGACGCTCAAGCTCCATGCGACGATCGTCATGCCCCTCGCAACGCCCGAGATCAAGGTCAAGGCCGTCCAGCAGCACGGTACGACGACGCATCTCATCTCGCATGACAAGCGACTGCAAATACATTGTCAACTCAGGTGGCGACGCGGTCAAGATCATCTTACATGGCAACAACTTTGACGAAGCGGCCGCCGAAGCGCGGCGCATCGAGGCCGCCGAGGGCCGGACCATGATTCTGCCGTTCGACGACCCGCTCGTGATTGCGGGCCAAGGCACGATTGGGATGGAAATTTTGCAGCAAACCACAGGCAAGCCGCTCGATGCCGTCTTTGTCTGCTGCGGCGGCGGTGGTATGCTCGCGGGTGTCGCCAACTGGGTGCGTCACCGTCCATAAATGACATGGCAGCTGAGGCGTATGCAGGTCAAGCACTTTCGGCCCAGCGTCAAGGTCATTGGCGTCGAAGCGGCGGACGCGGCAGGCATGACGGCGTCGCTCGCGGCAGGCAAGCGCGTCGAGCTCGACCAAGTTGGGCTGTTCGCGGATGGCGCGGCCGTCAAGCTCGTGGGCGAGGAGACCTTTCGCATCTGCCAAGCGCACGTCGACGAGATGATCACGGTGACGACCGACGACATTTGCGCAGCGATCAAAACGGGCTTCAACGACACGCGCGTCGTGCTCGAGCCCGCGGGGGCACTCGCGATCGCCGGTGTCGACCGCTACATCAAGGACAAGAAACTGCGCGGTGGCACCTACTGCGCGATTACGTCTGGTGCCAATATGGACTTTACGCGGCTGCGCTTTGTCTCGGAGCGTGCCGACAGCGCCGAGACGCTCATCTCTGTCAAGATCGACGAGCGTCCCGGCGCCTTTGAGCGGTACACACTACGGTATTCCACTCGCGCGCCCCAATCGACATGCATAGATTGCACTCGTACATGGACGCCGAGGGCGTCCGCATCACCGAGTTTAGCTACCGCTACTCGGAGAAGGACAACGCGCACATCTGCATGTCGTTCCAGAGCCCGTCCCGCGAGCAGTCGGACAGCGTGCTCGCGCGGCTGAGCGGCGCCGGCTTTTCGGTCGAGGACCTCCGAGAGAACGAGCTCGCCAAGGTAGATTGACACGGGCACTATGGCGTCTGAGCTCCGTCGTAGGTGCACGCACGGCACCTCGCGGGCGGCAAGAGCGTGCTCGTGGGCAACGAACGGCTCTTTCGCTTCGAGTTTGCCGACAAGCCTGGTGCGCTCAAGGCGTTCCTGACGCACATGCACGGCGGGTCGACCTGGAACATATCGCTCTTCCACTATCGGAATCACGGCGCCGACATTGGCCGCGTCCTCGTCGGCTTCCAAGTGCCTCCGGGGGACGAAGGGCGGTTTGGCGAGTACCTCCGCGCTGTCGCCTACCACCACGTCGACGAGACCGACAACCCCGTGTACAAGCAGTTCTTGGCCCGTAACGAGTAAGCTCTTAGTTGAATAATATGTCGAAACAGCACACGAAAGGGTTTGAAACGCTGCATTGCGTGCGATGTCTAGGAGGTGGTTTGCGAAAAGCTACAAGCCGTCGAGCTCGGCCTTGCGAGCGCGAATGACTTTGCACGTGGCCTTGTGGTTGGGCCAATCTTGGGTCTGGTGGTCCTTGCAGCAGTAGAGCGCGGCGTCGCAGGGGCACTTGAGGAGCGGCGCCGCATCCGGCTGCGCGCTGGCACCGCATGTCCGGCAACCCATCTTGCCTTCGACCGTGCCCTGCGTCTGGAAGAAGACGAGTTCGAACGTCCGCGCAACGTTGGCGAGGAACGTGAGCAAAATCTGCTGGCGCATCTGCAGTGTCAGCCACACGTCGGCCTCGATGAGCACGTTGGCGTCAATTTTGGCCTGGGTTTCCTGCAGTAACGTGGGCGACACGGATGGCAGCAAGGACTGGATGTGCTGCTCCGGATCCGTCGGGTCAATGTAGGCGAGCGCAACGCTGTCGAACGTCGTGCCCGAGAACGTCGGCATGCGCTTCTTCGCCCGCAGGCCCTTGAGGTACGCAAGGTCTTCGGCGGCGCAGTCGAAGCGTGCGCGGTTGCACAACAGGCGCACGAGCGGCTTGCCTTGGTCGGCGAGGAGCGTCGCAATCGTGAGCTCGGGCGTCAAAATGTCCGTGGCTTGGAGCACGTCCGGCGTCTGCAGCGGCATGTCGGGCGACGCATTGCGCAGCATCGAGAGCTGGCCTGCATACGGAATCGCGAGGAACCAGCGCATGAAGGTCGAGCCATGGGCGTCCCAGAAGCGCGTGAGGAACTCGGCCTCGCTGAGCGTCGTCGCTGCCATGATGGTGTCCTGCAATCCGTGCCGGCCTCGAATTGGTCAAAAGTCGGCGCCAGCTGGTATGCCACCATACAATACCTTAGAGACTTGGCGTTGCAGGCGCGCCATTAAACCAATGAGCGTGCGCCGTTGTAGACATTTTGCGCCAATGGCATCGCATGACGCTTGTCTTGACCGCGCGCCTCCGCGGGACGACGACGACGGTTGGCAGCGATGAGAAAAGGGAACCGCGGCAAGCTGCGCGAGGTGTCGCAGCGAAGGAAGGAGGAGGAGCAGCGCCTGCGGGAAGGCTGTCGAATCATACTACTGGCGCCCGATGCGTGTGCGGGAAGCGGCGCTGCGAAATGCGCCGCGTGAGGTGAGATTAGCAATCACTTTGACGCGCCACGCAGCAAGCGCGGACGGGGACAGTGCGTGGGACGATTGGCCCGCGTCCACACGTTTGAAGCTACGTGGTGCACATAGAGTGGCGGCGCTGGATTCGAGATGAGTCAAGAAGAAGGGGGCAGCGTGCCCCGTTGCTTCCGCGGTGCATCCGCGCGCTGCGACATGCTTCCGGCGACGTGTACGCCAGAGGCGATTCGAAGGGCGGCCCATCGAAGGCTGATAACTTAGTGGGCCATCTGGACGTAGTAGGACCAAGCAGTATGTAGTATGTGGTGTGGTGCAGACAGGCGGGCAGCGATGACAGAGCTTTCGAGACGGCTGCGCGCGTCAAAGATCCGCTGCCGATGGCCTCAAGAAGCCAGCGCCTTCAAGCTTTCACCGCGATGATGGTGCTTGCAGCCTCATCACGGACACCATCCACATTTGCGCAGGGTATCTGTCTGTTTGGGAACAGCAACATGTCCCAAGGGAGGTCGATGGAAGACGATGCAATCTTCGAGGCCCTTCCAGCCGACTTGCGCATACAGCCTATCGATACTCGCCTGCGTGGCGCCGGCGGTGGCGGTGGCCGCGCGCCTCTTTGCCGTCGCGGCGACGCCACGTCCTTCCGGCGCGGCCGTTGGTCGTTATGCCACTGGCATCGAAGTTCGAAGCTCCGAGTCTATTTATACCCTCAAATGAAAAACGGGAGAAGCTGTGCGGAAACATATCGCAGGTCTACTTCGCTTGGGCGGAAATACCTTGGTTCCACTAGGCAAAAAGTTCGACAGGTTCAGAGCATGCACGGGCCGCGCGAGATGGAGGCCGAGGCGAGTCGGCTCGTGATCACTCGGCGCGCCAGCATACGCCCGTGGCCATCGCCGCCGAGCCGAGCCCTTGCGAAGAACCCGATCTGCAAGTCGGCGCCCGACGTGTTTGCGGCGTACCGACAGAAAGAGGACATTTCCATCTCGGCGCCGGACCCGACGGCGTCGACGGTGTCGCTCCAGTCGCCGCCGCCGCGCACGAATGTGTCGGTGGGCAATTTGACGCCGCCGTTCGCGCACCTCAAGCCGCTCAACAAGCTCGGCGGCCACCTGCTCGCCAAAGAGATCGACTGGAGCGATATCGTCGATGTCGACGACGTCGACATGCTCAGCGACGACGAGGACGACGACGAGTACGACATGGACGTCGGCGACTTGACGCCAGCGCTCTTGGACAGCGTGCTTGCGCGCGTGTCGCCCGACCTCTCGCCGACCGATGTGGCGGCGCTGCGCAAGATTATGTTGGATTCTGATAATGGCTTTGGAACGTGGAACTTCAATGTCCTTCAAGTGGCGGCGTACGTCCCGAACTCGGTGCTCACGTTCGTCGCGGTTGCGATCTTCACGCTCCTCGACTACGACGACATTGACCTCGACACGCTCACCAAGTTTGCCTCGGACGTCGAAGCCAAGTACAACCGCCACGTCATCTACCACAACGCCGAGCACGCCTCCGACGTGCTCCACTCGTTCTTTGCCATCTTGCGCAACACGAATCTGACTGCGATCCTCGCCGAGACGCACCAGATCGCGGGCCTCCTCGCCGCGCTTCTCCACGACGTGCAGCACTTTGGCCTCACCAACAAATTTCTCAAGCAGAGCGAGCACGAACTCTCACGGACGTTCCCCGTGTGCTGTCCACTGGAAGCCATGCACTCGGACGTCGGCCTCAAGATCCTCGCGGCCCACAATGTCCTCCGCCGCTTCTCGCCGTCGCTCCAGGCCGAGATGCGCCACACGATCCACGAGACGATCTGGACCACGTCCGTGTGCGAGCAAAAGCGCCTCTTGGCGGCGCTGGCGGCCGCCGACCGCAGCTCGAAAGAGTTTGTGACGCTCGTCGTGCAGATTGCCGTGCACGTCTCGGACCTCGGACAGACCTCCAAGCCGCTGAGCATCCACCAGGTGTGGGTCGATCGGCTCCACGGTGAGCTCTTCCTGCAGGGCGACCAGGAGCGGGCGCGCGGCTGGCCGCTTAGCATGGACTGCGACCGCGCCAAGGGCATCTGCCCCAAGAGCCAGTCGTCCTTCATGGAGGGCTTCGTCGTCCCCGCCTTCTCGGCGCTCATGCTGCTGCCGGGCATGGACGACGTCGAGACGCCGCTGCGCCAAGTCCTCCGCAACATCGCGCATTGGAAACGCGAGTAGACTTGCATTTTTAATTTATTGTAAATCCTTTGTACACTTTATATATAGCGTTTGTATGCACATGGAATTTCCAAACGGTCGTCGATTTTATTTTATTGTAGTAGACTGTAGTACATCGTAGTTGTTGTTGAAGTGAGTCTATTTAGATATAATTTACACTGAACTGTTTTTGGGGGTGGACTTTCGATTCAGAGCGTGTTGTGCTAGACGGCATCTGCGGCGAGGCTTAGCCGTGTTGAAGGCGAGGCGTGTGGATGGCGCACGCCGGGACGAGGTTGTCACGAAGCCAGGCGTCGTGGCGCAGGGCGTGCATCATTTGAAAGAGACACATCGCTTGGGTATTCAGCATCAAGTGGTGAAGGTGCATCTTGGTCAAAAACGCGGCGCGGGCGGCGGCCGCTTCGGGTGTCACGACGGGCGCCTCGGGACGAAAGACGCGGTCGTTGCGGGCGAGCCAGACAGTGTGCATCACACAGGCGCGTAGGAGCGGCCACATCATGTCGACCGCGCGTCGTCGGTAGCGTTGGGCCGTCACCAGCGGCTCAAACAAGAGCGCGTACAGCGTCGTGGGGAGCTCCAGTTCCAGCGCATCGACGAGAGGCCGAAAGACGG